GGTTGTTCGGCAACATACGCCTTGGATAGGGTATGGTTGCCGGTAAGAACTGATAAAAGAAAAGGAACTTGTAAAGTGTTCAGTGCGTGCCTTGTCGAATTAGATGTTATAAATGAATCTAAATTTAACTGTTGGTATTACTTTAAATAATCGTATATTATCTGAATCGTGATTGTTGACTTAAGAACTACGTGTGGCTTAATCCCTCACAAAAGGGTACGTAGGTAGCCTAGGGTAAACCTAGGTGCAGCCGCAAAATAAACCGTTTGAGCTATGCTTGTATTGTTCTAAGTGTGGAAATGAAATTTCGAAGAAGAAATGTCTTCTTTGATTATTGTTACGTTAAGTGTTACTAGTGTATGAATTTATAAATGAGTTCAAAAGCTAGAATGTTTTAGAAAATGTTTGGTTACGAGGCCGGAGGCCTGTTTGTTTGTCGTGTGTAACGTACATTGTGCATGTTGAAGTTTGGAAATATTAAATTGTGATATTTACAGATGAAAATAATTTGGTAAATGTCCGTTTTTCAAGGAAGAATCTCCGAAATTTAGGCAGAAAATCTCATTCCTCTTTTCCTTAATTTGAAAAAGAGGCTATAATGTTAGTAAGTAGGCCCGACGTCAGTTTGATGTCGGAAATACACAGGATTTGTCACGGATTTCGAGGAATTCGGGTCGGGTCCTGTCAAATGTGCTTGGACAATTATCACACCCTAGCTGGAATTAAATGCATTCCTAATCTCAGCTATGTCCCGCTATTTGGCTGGTCATCCCTATAATTAGATGATCTAGCCATGCTTAAGGACCACTCCTCTTCATTATGACAACATGGCCATACACCCATCCTCCCTTAAAACAAGGGAACCTGCTCCATCAACCTCTCTAAGAATACCCTTCACCTATACTAAGACACCTAGACTCATACTAGTGTAATAACTCTTATCACTCATAAGCTCTTCTTATTTTCTTTCTCTCTTAAACACTCTTTATGAGGATTTGGCTGATGCCACACCAGTACCTCTTGGGTGACTATTCTTGTAAAGATGGGACCACTGAACTCCATACCGACTCAAAAGAAGCTCTGATCATAGGCCTGCCAAGGTCTTACGCTAACTACCTAGAATCACCCTTCAACACCTATCTTTTCTCAAGTCTATGAGTTTACATAATTACTTAATATGAAATTCTATTTTGCAGACACCTAAATGCGGGCTTATATTGTGGTAAGCATTACAAGTCGTGAGATAGATTTGGAAGATTGAGAACAAAGTGCTTAAGTTACAATCGGGTAAATTGAAATCCTAACCTAAATGAGAGGACTTGACGTATATCAACCCCAAGCCCCATAGAAAAAGAGAGAAATACAATTTGAAACCCAACCACTCACACAAAGCCTCCCATAGAGATAGTTGTCATACATTGCAAGAAAGTTTTCCTTAGAGCATCATGTCCACTAAAGTGAAAGAGAATTGTCGTCCTAGAAATCCATTGGAGTCCATGGAACAATATGTCACTAAAGAATCATTAAGCATTCAAAAGCATGTAATTTTCTAATCAATAATAGCTCAATACATGATCATTAAGATTGTTGGGAAGAAGCCAACGCGGTCTGCTTAGTAGAAAAGGGCCTTGACTTGCAAACCGATGATCTCAAGTTCGAATCCATATGGCACCTTGGTGGAGGCCCTGAGCACAAGCAGGCAAGGCAGCCTATGGCCCCCAAATTAGGAGGGCCCCAAATTTGTATAAACCCCTATATATACATACCTATTTATTTTTTAAAAAATATATATTATATAAATATTATGTTAGGCCCAAATCAATTATTGTAAATAAATAAAAATATTTACCGAATCATTCAATTCAAAATTAAAAAGAGGAAACTCAATAAAGGCCCACTCGTAAAAGAAAAAAAAAACTTGCCCAATTACTCAATTCAAAACTAAAAAGAGGAAACTCAATAAAGGCCCACTCGTAAAAGAAAAAAAAAACTTGCCCAATTACTCAATTCAAAACTAAAAAGAGGAAACTCAATAAAAGCCCACTTATAGAATTAGAAAGGCCCATTTATAGATATTCTTATAAATTAGAAAAAAAAATCACATAAATATTCATATAAGTAGAAAGACCCATTTAGGTTGTTCGCCTAGGGCCTCCAAGACATGGGACTGGTAGTGTGTGTGTGTGTGAGAAAACCTCATCCCCTTGTAGTTTAGACTATCGCTTATATTTATAAAAATAAAATAAAATAGTTGGAAAGAAGGAAAGGAAAAATCCTAATCAATTTCGTATCATTAAAGTGTCATGTCCTATGAATATGGGTTAAGTCTACTTTGCAATCACCCCTTACATTATATTATTATGTAAAAATTCTTTAAAGAAATGGGCTTAGCGAGGCAGCTAGTATGATCCGATTGACTAATTATGGGGATGGCAATGAGATGCGATGGATGAGAAGCAAAAGCCTCTACCACCATATTATTACCTTCACGAAAGATATGAGATAGAAGGGAAAGTAATAAAATAAAAAATAATAATAGAACTTTGTCTCAAGGCATTTACCAACCACCACTACCATCCCCACCCCCACTAACTCCGTTGCCGCCGCTGCCACCATCACCGTCGCCGCCACCACTTTACATGGTCATTGCCACCACTCTCCCCCACCACCATTAATGCCCATCCTCACCACCCCATCACCAACATCTAATATGATGACCCACCACTATTTCAAATTGTCTTATTAGTTAAAATGCCCCTTGAAACTTGGGTCAAATCTCACTTTGCACTCTGAAAACTGAAAGTGACTCATATACCTCTTTTGACCGTGGTTCCGTGTTTCACTTTGCACCCTATCATCAACTCCGTTGCTAACCCCGCCAAAATTGTTGACGTGGCAGGGGGAATTTCGTCTTTTCGTCAACTTGGCAAATTGTGGAGCCCACCTTTATTTAAAGAATAAATAAAAAATGCAAATATTAAAGAGTATTGTGGTGGGGATTCGAACCCCTAACCTCCAATACCCAATAAATGTTCCATACCACTAGAGCAAGTTGTATTCTTTGGTAATCTTTGTACAATGATGATATTTATTATATGCTTAGAAGAATTTAAAAAATGTTATAGTCTTCCTTCTCCAGCAGCCGACTTTTAACTTTTTTGTTTCTTCTTTTTCTTTTCTTTTTTGCTTCCTTTTTCCTTCTTTTTGGTCTTCTTCTCTCGTTCTTGTTCTTTCTTCTTCTTCTTAATTTGAAAGTCAGATTTGGGGAAGAGGGTACCGGTGGGGGATAGTTGGGTTTGTGTAATATGGGGTGGGTTATTAGTTGGTGGTTGCGATTTAGGGGGGGGGGG